CACAAGCTAACATTCACTGCAGAAGATCAGGCTAGAAAAATATGATGAACACATCGAGTTAGTTAAAATCACCCTGCTAAAGTCGACCTATGGCATATTTGCGTTGAAAAGCTTCCCTAGTAGGCGTCTGATCTCCCAATGAGTCATCAGATCGCTCTGAAGCGCCTACCCTGCTCGTCACACCTATTGACCATAGCGATTTAAAAAGCCTGTCTGATCAAAATAACGTTGCTTAAGTTAACAAACGTATAGATTAAGAAGAGTATTCCATTACAGTATCCCTAAAAATTGTCCAAAAAGCAAGCTTAAGAAAATCCAAAGCTCGTTCCGCAGCTGTTCTTTTCATCTTATTCTTTTTTGTTCTTTCGTCTGGTGCGAAAGTTTTGTTCACAACCCAGCATTCTTGTGAAACATTCGCAAGGCGAACTGCGGCCAAAAACAGCAGTTAACAAATCAAAAACACTTTCTTTTGTGCTTCTGTTAGCTCGATTTCATCCAGACAATCTCGTATGCTTTCTGCCATCTCAAATAGCATATCGACACATTTCCTTCGCAACTCTATATTTCATCTTTAAACTCAATATTTCGTAGAAAAAACAATGTGTGAATGATGTGGAAGTCTTTTGCTTGCACAGCTTTCAGCACGATGGACAACATATTCATTCGAAAAACAATGACGTTTGCGGTAGACTAGTCATCACACATTCTCCGAGACACATTTTTCCTTTGCATAAGGAAGCTTTTCGAAAATGAAACATTTTCCAACATTGAGCGATGAATCACAGTTTATTGTTCGATCGATCTTGTATAAATTTGCATAGCTCTTCAACTCCTGGTTTCAAAGCCCACTGAGGGCCTTTTCCAGGAACTTCTGAGCACTTTTCACGTTCACTACTTCTGACAGAAGCCATTTATTGTTTGACTACGAGCGGGTTACTAACAGGATTAAAAAATGACCCCCCAGATCGGATCTAGCAATACTTCCATTTGTTCGATGTCAAGTATTGAACAAATTTTTTCAAACATAGGAAATTCTTGGATAAGCAGCAATTGTCTTCCACCTTTCGCACCCCGTCGTGCCTAAGAAGGTCTATGCTCTAATTTACGGTTAGCAATGGAGTAATTTCACATTTTTTAGAGGGAATTGAATGCGATAGGAATCCCAAAACAGTATTATGTAGGAAAATTATGTGTGAAATGGGAACGGCGGGAAATTTTTGCTCAAGCATTGGCATTCGGGAGGAATTTGCTAGTAATTTAGGTTCCAAATTCTGGCCAGGCATAGTTTTCTAAAAATTCCACAGTTGATTTATTTTTAGAAACCCTACGTATTTTGGTCGGTAAAAAACTAAACCTTACTACAAATACGATGTTGAAGATTTAGATCTCCCAAAGTCATTCTTCGCTGAATAAGATTAATTGTACAGGGACTTTATTCGAAATGTTTTTGCTTTTTTATAACTCATGCGCCCACATTTTCTAATGTTTTGGTTAATAATAACCAGAAAAATACCGTATCTCATTTTTTCCTTCACATTCTCTTATTTTGTCTTCTATGCCACCACTGTTTTCTTTGCCGATTTTTTGTTTACTTTGTCTATTCTTTCGCCGTTTTATGTTTAGTCTTCGCCATGCTCTATTAAAAACATTTCCTGACATTTCCATAGCCGACTGGGCCCTATATAAACTCCCAAAAACAGCTTGATCAAGAATTCGAGACCTTTCTACGATTACTAAAGGACAACTGGCCGAGCTGTGTGTGCTGGTGCTCGTACTCACACTTTGACCTTGTTTGCTATGACGTATACATAGGGGCGACGCATTAGTCACCCTGGTTTTGAAAGGATGCGGGATGGTTCGATGCTTTGTCAAGGTTTTTATTTTGTTCAGAACTTTCGATTTCTGCTTTCTTTTTTTCTTGCTTGTAATCTGCCGTACTGTGGAATTTTGTGTTTGAGGAAACCATTCCATTATCATAAATTCAGTATCTCTATTTTAGTCGTGAAATGTTATGTATAAACTCTACCCGATAAGGGTTCACGGACTACTTGATTTTTTCTCAATGGTCTACAGACGACTAGAGAACGGGTGAATGCTCTAGGACTAAGCTTTGGAGAGGAGAGGGACCCGCGAGAGAGCGCAGAGACGGTTTAAGGGGCTCACTTCAAGGTAGTCCGTCGACCCTCGATGAGCGTGAATCCAAGCAGTTACTTGGTTTTCGGAAGCGACTCGGTCAGATACTCAGGGCCGAGGAAGATTCAATGGATAAAGAACCCTTTCAACACTGGCGCAATCCGCTGATCGAATTCCATCAAAATCAGATTTCCTTTCCAAGCCAACATGGTCGGCTATTTTTTATACTCTGAAACAATCGGATTTCAGTAGTTGTGTGGTTAGCTTTTGCCATCGCTTCACATTCAGGTGACAGTCCTGCGGGTACGCGGACGATCACCTTGCTGCAGTAAATGTTAGCCCCTCAATCATTTCATAGGCCGGGTCCGGACTCAAATGCTTCCACGATTTTGGACGGAAGCAGAGGGTGTGGCGGATCCCAATGTGGAGGATGACCCTGAGACCAGGGTCAACCGTCGCGTTCGACAAATTTCAAAAATTTTCGATCCCCCTTCTGGAGGGCCTCGATACGGCCCCCCCCCCCCAGCTGTTACTATAGTATTTGATTCTGAGACCAGTTGACACATCCCAACTCCACCACATTTCCTCCAAAATAGCCGTCGAGCGGGGGGAGGGGAGGCGGGTATAGCATCAACTATCAACAAGTGAAACGGCTAAATTGTTTTTTCTTAGCACTCACAAAGCGTAAAGCGTCACACTACGACCCCCGTTGGTGTAGGATTGACGCTGCCTCCGACCTTGCAAATACGACCCCTTTTCGGCCGCCGTAATACGACCCCCTCGTTGGACTTTGTCCAACAGACGGTTGACCCTGGCCTGGACTATGGCTACCTTCTATATTATTCGCTTTCTGTACTCCATGTTTGGCACGATGATAACGCTTCTTAGGTAGTTCTTTTTCTCTTTTGAGAAGGCGGCGTTACCTTAGTGCATTGGGGCAAATCTCTAGGGTTCGTCAAAGATGCATCCGATTCTATCACTTCACTTTAATTACTCCATCTTCCTCTAATTACTACAGTTATTCTCCTTTGTAGTACTTGATACTGTGGTCGGATGGTGACTCATATATTTTATTGATCTTATCCTTCCTATTTGTCGACCTGTCGTCGTTATCGATCTTATCATTCGTATCTGTTCAATGTGCTTGTCGTTGTAAATTTTTAAACTGACGTGGCTGTTTTTTTTCAGAAATTCTATTCCTCGAATAATGAGATTATTGTTGTTATATACCTCGTATAATGTATGTGCATGCTGACTGGTGGGACTCATTCACAGATACCGTCGCAGGTGGATTGAACAGTGTTGCTTCATGGGTGAGGGAGACGGCTAGTCCTGCTATAAGGTAAGGTGTGCGAGGTGCTATACAAGTAGGGTGGGCACGCCGCATTTTTTGAACAGAAATGTATGTAAGTGGGACTGCTGCCCGCTACTATACTGTCACGAGAATCGGGGAATTCGTGAGCCAGGGGGAGTGTAGCCAATCTAGGGGGTGGGGGTGAGGGCAGTCACTTGACATGCGTGAAAAGCTGGGCGTGCCCACCCCACTTGTATAGAGTCGCATGCGGACCTATATGAACAGATTTTAATGATCGTATGATTTTAGAACGACTTTTAACGATGCCAAAGAAAAGCTGCAAGACCCGGAGACTCATCGGGTAATCCAGGACTGGGTTTCGGAGGTATGTCTAAGCGTCCTCTTTCAAAGCATTGGGAGCCTTGGACCATTTATTCTCATTTCCACGGGTTCTTTCCAGAAAGCAGGAGATGTGAAGGAATTCGCAGAGAAGGAAGTGGTCCCAGAGTTGAAAAAGGTCTACGACGCGGCGAAGGCGGCAGCGACGAGTCGTTCTGTTGATGTGCCTGAAGACTAGCTCATTCTTTGTTTTCTATTTACTGCATAATAATTATTGCCTTACCTACATGCCTTGCTTTACTTAACAACTCACGGTTCCCACGATGTCAATAAATGTTTTTATCTTTATATGTTTATTGTTTATTTATGACACTGTGCATGAGGCAAACACAAGAATTATGAAGTTATACAACTAACGACCTTGAATGCAAATTACGGGATTTCTGGCGAAATTAGGTTTTCCCCGTCAAATATGCAGCAGTACGCAAGGGCAGACCATGTGCAGAAGTGGCGGGGCGTTTTGATAAGGTTTAGGCGCTAGGAGCCTAGGTTGGAGCATTGGCGCCGCCCCAACCCCATTGAGCCCGCCCACCGTCCTACGTGATCTTCCAAACAACCACCTGGAACGCTAGATGTTAAGCCGTTGTTTGGAAAGTCGTAGGGGAATATTTAGCGGATTTCAACTGCGAAAATCAACATCAAAGCCTATGTTACGACCATTTTCGAGAACGTTGTCATCATTCTAGTGAGAAGAAAAAATTTTAAGAGCAAACAAAAAAGCACAAAAAATAGAAAAAACGGAAAACCAAACAGCTTGTTCATTGCTTGACTTTTTGTGAAGCCCGTTCGGCGTTGACGGCACAAAGCCAACAGTTGCTGTAGACATGTCCAAACACGTAATTTTCCCAGCCCTGGTTCGTAAGCGACTAACGAAGAGGAATTTCTAATTTTGTACTTCTTTGGAGGTATTTCCTGCTTTTTTCATTACCTTCGATCAACTTAGCATCCAGCTCTTCACACTCGAACAGGTGAGTCCCTTGTTTTATCCCGGAGTTTGCCTTTACCATATATTCGTCAGTTCACTAGAAGCTAAAGCCCGCCAAAAACTCAACAATTGTTTCTTACTTAGACCCTTGAAAAGCTTGAAGGTTGGAGACGATTGTTTGCGCAGTATTTCGCCGGTTCGCGCAGTCAGATCCTGCCCGAATAGTTTTGGGGCAGTATGTAATCGCGGTGATTGAATGAGGATTGATATCAGTGAACCGAGCCACCACCTTTTAACGCTCTTCAACTAGGGGACGGTCAATTACATAATTAAAAAAACGCATGGCCCCCGTGGATATCGTGATACAGCTGCCTTAAAATCACCCAAAAATCTACAGCGTTGAAACAGCGACATTCCATAAACACGCTTGCCCTAGCAAGGAGGGTCTGCCTTGAATTTATTGTTTATTTTACTCTTATTGACGACTTCTCCATTTGCTGTGATGTCGCACGACCCAAAATTACTACCCACTCTCAGGTAAGTAGTATGGTACCTCATACGACTTCTCATCACATACCCCACCCCATCTACTACACCCTGCACCGTCATAGATGATTTCACCATGTACATAGGTCCATTTGTGAACAATCCGACAGCACCCGCAACTCCGCCACGACAATCCTCGCAACTCTGATTGTCGAGAATGGACAGAATATGACCTCGCAAAAGGGGAGCAGAGTTGATTTTCGCGAACTCGACAGGTATTTTCCCGAAACAAATACCCCTCAAAAGAACCCACCCTCTCCACCCATCGCGAAGCAACAACTTCACTTCTATGTACTACCCCGACCCCCTCCTCCAAGTCTCAAATAGACACCCTCTTCTTCTCACAAACGTTCAATGCGGAAACCTACTACGCCAGCCACTGAAAACCCCAAACACACCTCCCCGCCTCATCGTCGATGAAAAAACCATAAATACATGGCGAACCGTCCAGAAAGATTGGTTGTTGGGTTTCTACGCCATGTGTTACCTGGTTAAAGTACGATGTATTGTACCGTTAGCGTCCCAATGTTCGCCAAACGATTTCATGTGGGCTATAAATTTTTTCTCGCTCGACACTAAACGCTCTTCAAAGATGATTATTATGTTTTTATAATCCTCATTCTCAAAGAATCGGATATCGAAAAGAGAAACTTTTAGAGTTAACCATTGTTACTTTTTGGCAAGCACTGTAATATTTGTTCATTCGTTGTTTTCGAATCTGGAGAAACCAAACCCACCTGCCTTGTCATGGAATTCTTTCTCGGCGTCTTTCGCAAAAGCTTTCCCATGAAATCTTGGTACCGAGATAATAGCTAAAAGTTGTCGCTCGCAGCTAAGCTGCCTAGTTTCTACGGCCCTCCTAGAGTGATCTGCTCCAGAGCAGGGCATTAGTATGTACGTACCGTCAGTGATTCTTCAATATCAATATATCAAGAGTCCCCTTATGGTCAGCTCTCTCCCCTTTAAAAGAGGACTGGTGGAACATCTTTACCACACAGCACAATAGCCTTTTCAAGCAAGAAGGAGTCATCTTTCCCACCTGGGAATGTGCTGCATAACAGAAAATGGTTCTATTGGAGGCAACAAAAGAGCATTGTTAGCTACAAAGCCACTAATCTGCTGAAAAGTGCAAAGAAACATCAGAAAAAATTTCTGTAAAAGGTAGACTGAGAAAAGGTTGATCATAGCAAACATGGATTCATTCTCTTCATTGGGTCACACATACGGTAGCGCTCAAAAGTGTTTGTTGGAACCACTTTCCGTGCAATTCTGTTTTTTCTTCTTCTAAAGTCTTGAAGGCTGACTAAACTTTGTTTTTCTGAATGACATGAATCCTAAGAGCTCAACATCCCGAAGACTCCAACAGTCCACAAGTATTTGTCTAATTGTAGAATCGTTAGTGGAGAGGCAAAAAAAAATGCATAAAAAAAACCGTTCCAGAAGAAGACTTTTGACAATTTCTGTACCTTACTAAAATGTTCACAAAGGAGCCAACGCACGTTCCAAACGTGTCCACTGTCAAGTCTCGCCACTTTCAAAAAAGGGTCCACTGTCACGTGGACACTGTTTGAAAGTAGCGGGCTTCCTTTGAACGTTGGGTCCCGCCACTATTGAGTCGCTGGTACATAGTTCGACTCGCTGGTGCAACGTTCGATTCGCTGGCGCAACGCTCGGATCCAGCGATTCGCAAACTATGACATCGGCCGAAGTAAGCAAACCAGCCCTTTTGGCGTTTCTGCTGGGGCCGTATGCTGAATGTTGGGGAGGGGATGGAGTCCCCGACGGTCGACGGACTACTTCAACTCGGTCCTTAAAACCGCCTCAATTTGATGCTTACCTCAGGACTAAGCCTTAAAGAGAGGACGGACCTGCGAGAGAGCGCAGGTCCGTCCTCTCTCCAAGGCTTAGTCCTGGGGTAAGCAAACCAGCCCTTTTGGCGGACCGAGTTGAAGTAGTCCGTCGACCGTGGGGACCCCATCCCCTCCCCAACATTCAGCATACGGCCCCAGCAGAAACGCCAAAAGGGCTGGTTTGCTTACCTCCTCCCCAAAAAGATCCGAAAATTATAGAAAACTATGATTTCGAACCCTCGGAATCCCAATGAAAATATGATAAGAAATCAATTATGAGCGCGCCAAGCAGCTTTCGGTTCAACTGGTCTCGTTTCTTTTTTCACGCCGTGCACCTTTAATCTCCTTTAAATCATCTTATCAGCGCTAGTGTCTGGCTCCCTTACACTTAACGTAGAGCTTATGAATTGAACACATATATTATCCTTCCGAGACTAGGACAAGCTGTTATTTGTCCTGCTTTGGCCAAACGACAGGAAAGACAGGAGCAATGAATAGCTTATTGGCTAGCTCATGGTCAGTGAATCCTTGGGGGGGGGGGGGGGGCAGGGAGAGGGCGTTACAAGACATGGAGGCACTTGATGATAGCAAAAAACGGGTCAAAAAGTGCGATATCTCAAAGCTTCCAGGCTGCTGACGAGACAAAATGAGTACAAAATTGCGCCAAAGGGTGACCAAGAAAAGAGACATTCATTCTAAATTCGGAACGGCATCACTCACACTTTGCAGAATTCGATCCGAATGCTCCCGATTGTGAAAAGTAAAGAGCACACACCACTCTATCAACCAACGCCATAGTAGCCTTCTACGCCGGCGACATCAGGAGAATCACGGAAACATGCTAAACGGGCCAAGCTCGTTGTGGTCCTCCCTCGCTGACCATTACTACGTTATCTGTAAAGCTAGTCGGAAGGGGTCTCGCACAGACTGAACTAATACTGTCTTTAGGAAGCTATTCCTGTTGCCCGATTGAAAAAATTGTTTAGGTGCTTCAGGTTGGAGCGGGTTAGCCTTTTCGAGCTCGACGGTGATGGAAGATAATCTGATATTTTGAAGCCAACAGAGCAGTGAACAGGTTCTTGCATCTGCAAATGAAGGGGTACTTCACGAACTATTTTACCGAAAGACCTAGAGGTCACTTCAACCTGTGCGAGTCAAACCTTACTGATCCGCGTGTCGCGCAAAATGTCTCTATTTTTAGGCAACCCCTTATAGTTCGACATATAATCGCCTAAATTCAAGTACCCAAGAGTTTCCAAATCAAACCAGAACTGTCCAAAAACTATGATTTAGCTCCTTTTTGATAGCCAGATTTTCCATTTCTCCCACATCTTTTTCCTTGGATTTTTTTTGCATGTTCTTTAATGCTTGTGCCTCGTATTCCTAGTTGTAGGAATGGGACTCTGAACAACCCACCCCGAAATTACTTACCGTATAGAAAGCCTTGAATTTGGTTCGCAAATGGTCTCGTACTATCCTCTTGTTTAGCAATTGATTTTTGTACGATTGCTCACAAATATAGCGAAGTTAATACGACAAGCGCATTCACAAGGACATTAAATTGGATGGGCGGAAGTGGTGTAGTGACAAGTGGCGCGCTTCACCACGCGAGCGGTCCGGGATCAAATCCTGGGTCGTGAGTCGCCCGGGCCAACCAAGCCTTCCATCCCTCCGGGGTCGGTTAATTGGTACCAGACTTGTCTGGGAGGATAAAAACACTGACTTGAACATCGGCTGGCCCCCGCAAGTCATTGTATAGGCCACATCGCATTCAAACGCCACTGCGAATGTACAAATGGAAGTAGAATGCGTGCCGCATCCCAAAAAGGGATTGATCAACGGCAAATGCTTTATCCT